TGGTGTCCAACAAACTTGTAGGTTCCTTGTTTCCCCAGCTTATGAAACTTGCCAAAATCCAATATTGTTAAAGTAATCTTGTATTTCTCATTGTCTTTTTGGTCATTCTTTTCATTAAAGTTCTGAAATTTTTTAGAAAGAGACCCTCATCATTCCGTTGACTGGCTGTTCTTTGATTATGCAAGAAGGTTTCATGTAATCAACTCTTAAAATTGAAGAAGAAGAGTCAAACGGTCTATCAAACATGTTGAGTCAGTTGGTTTAATGTGCAACGCTAGCATTCCTTTACTGCAGTAACGACGGTTAACGGGAGTGACCAGTGACGATTTGTAACAAAACGATAGTGTTAGTGACCAATTTATTACTTTTGAAACTTAATTGAGAAAAATGAAAAATTACTCCAACATTAGTGACTATTTATGTAGTTTACCCTAAATTATAACTATTTTCTTTTGTATTTTGTCCCAGAGAGGAGAGATTGCTACGTAATAGGTGATATGCCAGTAATAACGAAAATCAAATTATATTTAAAATTTTAAACATTTTTTAATATTTTAATATATTTCATAATAATATATATTTTATGAGAAAATATATTTGATCAGTTGAATAAATTACTTATGTTTATTTCTTATATTTTATGAGAAAATACAAAAAAAAAGTAATTTTTTAAATTTAAAATTTAAGTCTTAGAGTTAGGACAGAAAAGGAATTTGCATAATTAAAAAATAAAATAGTGTAGCGGATTCGTTGTTTCAACGCTACGTCTGGGTGTCTCTTGCTTAGCTCACTTTGCCTTTGTCCATTCAGTCAAAATACTTTCCCAGCCTTCATCTTGTTTTCTCCAAAGAAAACACATCAGTGAAAACTTCATCAATGAAGAGAAAAATATATTCGACAGAAGTAGAGGAAAGAGAAAATGTCGCGGCAAACTTATGTAAATAAGGGCGTAAATAAATCGAACTTGAACGAATAAAATTATGTTCGTGTTCATTTATTTATTTTTGAAGGTGTTCGTGTTATTTTATTTATTGTTCATGAACATATTCATTTAATGTTCGCGAACGTTCATTTATATGTTCATGAACCTATTCCTGAACGTGCTCATGAACATGTTCGTTTTTTACATTGTGTTGATGCAAAGAGATTTGTCATTTTGTTCCAAGCATAATTTTAATACATAGAGCACCTAAGAAAGTGTTATTATCTACTTGTTTTATGAAACTTCAAAGTCTCATATCCACTTCGTTTGCAACCTGCATTTGCTGCTATATTTTATAAGCAGCTGTTATGTTGTATCCTCAAACCCTGAGATTCCTTATGGGATTGTATTTTCTCCGGATAGAGATTCCTTGAGGAAGGAGAGATAAATGGTCACTTCTGCATAACTTTTCGTACTCTTGGTTTTAACTGGTGGTTGCATTCTGAGCCTTTTGTGATTTTAACTTCAGGAGCCTGGTGGTGTTACTGTTAAAAAGACCAATCAAGCCTTCATCATCGAGATCTATGACGAGCCAATGACTCCTGGCCAAAGCAACATGATTGTTGAAAGGCTCGGTGATTATCTCAATGAACAGGGTCTTTAATTTATTTGCTGTGCCTTAATTGTAACATTTCTTCCTGGCTTCTTTTTTCTATACGAAAGTGCACCGGCCACCTCCGTAGTTGTCGTAACCTAATTTTGTCCGGTTATCCGAAGCGGATAAAAAACGAGCAATGATTAATTTAAGGTGGTTTGTGCGCTAATTCAAGTGACCTTGGTGATAAAGATTGAAATTAATTCAAATGGCATTGGAAAAATGTGAGGATTGATGTGGAAGACGATTGATTTTGGGTTTTAAGCATTAGATTATTTGGGTCTGGTAATCATTCGTGCTTATCCATTCTTTATCATTACCCAAACACATTCAAATCAACGCTTAACCACCAATACAACTTTAAGCATTGAAAAAGTATGTCTTGAGTTATGGTGTCTCATTGATAATCAAATCCGATTTTGATTCACCTTAGTGGATCATCGCTAAATTTATTCCTAAGAAGTTGAATTATGACCATATGATTCTTACTTCCAAACTTTAAATCAAAACACCTTCAAATCAATGTCTTTTTGAAATGAGAAGATTATTAAAGATATGGTCGTTCGCCAAATAAAGTTTTCAAAAAATTATGAATGTTATCTGAAGATATTAAGTGTACTTTTTAAAAGAAAATAAAAGTCTAAAGTAAAAATAAAGATAAAAGAAAAAGGAAACTTTTATAAAAATAACTCCAAAGAACAAAATCAAATTTAGCACATACTTAAATATTATAGAGGTAGAATAAATATTTAAAATAAAATATCCTAAAAGATAATCCAAAAATAATTTAAAAAACAAATCTCCAAAGTATTTTTAAATTCAAATTCAAACTTAAATCCATAAGATAATTTTGCACGTCCTCCTTCCAGAAAAATGTTAATCGGACTGTCTTCTAGAAAATATTGTTGACTGGATCGCTAGATTCTACCACGTCGGAATCAGTCGTGTCCCAAACCGTGCCCATGGCTCTAGCCTGATTCCAAAAAAAAAAAAAAAAACTGCATATTTTATCCTTATACCGCTGGTTTTGGAAAATAAATCTATGCACGAAAATAAATCAAAATAGAACCAATTCAACAACATCAAATAAACAAAGAAGAATAATTATCAACAAAATATATACAAATCTAATCACTCAACATACACATTGAATTTTAGTAAGTACATCGATCAAGGACTTCTACTCTTAATTTTACCAGAAATTTTAACACAGTGAAGGACCAAACGTGGTTAATGCCTCCTAAAGTATTCCAAAAATAAAGGAGATGATATGTACATATTTGATCAGCAAGCTAAGGTTGTTCTGGCTTGATAAAAAATCCTGAGTTCAAAACCTTAGAAAGAAATATAATAATGTTAAATTTTGGATCGGGTTTAGACGACTTTTCTTCTGAGGAGGCTACACTCGATAACTTGCCCACACGACACAAGCAGCTCACTGCAATGGATTCAACGTCAACGCCCAACGGCACTACATACTTTCCTAATCAAGATATCTATCTTCTTCTTTAATCATCTTGTGATTTTGTCTATTATGTTATGTTTGCTCAAAGCCAAAAGAGACCAGTCAGTAAACGGATATATATTTATCTAAAACAAAATTTATAGTTTATAACCCTAAGTATTATAAATATATATATGGTACAAGCAATAAATCCATTGAATATTATTCCTTTGAAACGACAGTGAACAGTTCTTACGAAACCACGTCTAATAGATTTTGTTAGAAATTAGAAATTAGAAATTAGAAATTAGAAAAAAATAATCAAAGCGATATCAGAGTAAAATAAAACGTGTATAAGAGTTAAGACTTAATATGATTCAACATTGTCTATCTTCACGGACGAGAAGAACACCAACTCACTATAGATGTAGAGATTACAAAATGTACAAATACAAGATATCATGTGTATCTTAAAATCTTATATCTATACCAAAACCCAGAGTATCCCGAATCACTCTCTTAACATACTACAAAATTATTTCTACAACATAAATCCCCAAAAGTTACAAAAATCTCAAAAAGGATTAATCTCTCCAAAATAATTCTCTCTCTCAATTCTAAAGATTAAGACTATTCTCTATTTATAGAATCGAATACTTAGTCACCAAGAATACCATAAAATCTAATTTAATTATTAATTATAATTTGGATTAAAATATAACATATTTGAACTCAAATTTTATTTGAAATTACATTAACACATACATCAGAAATAGTTTTAAGAACACAAGGTAGTTAAAAATGGAGCTCCTCAATGCCACAAAAGCAATCTATTTGGGTTTTGGTGGAGAAGTTTAAAGATGAAGAAGACATCTCTAACAATCTATAAAACTCTAAAACAACTGTATGCATTAAACGAACAAGTTTCAATGTTTAAGAGATATGGTTGCTTGATCAGATAAATGTTGATAATTTTATTTATTTAGTATTATGGGTGATATTTGTTTGAAATTTTCTTAATCTATAATAACATGGTTACACCTTATAAACACAACTGCTCTAATTCTTTAGAGAGAATAACATGTCATTTCACCACAAATTTCTTTTATTGATACGGGATAAGTACAAGGTAGTATACGTTCAAACATTTGACAATACTTAATGCTCACACCTCTAACATTTTCGGTACTCGAACTCGGAACCTCAAAGAATATTTAGAATAAACTAATCAACACTCTCTTCTTCGTAGAAATATAATTAATTGATGAATATTTAGTTTAGAATATTAATATAAGTAAATTTATCATAGAGGTACATAAATTTTATTTAGTACATCTTTGTATAAACATGAATGGGATAATTTTTCACATTAACATAAATAATTATCATTGCTTATGAAATTTTTAGATTGCAATGGTTAATTGTGTACCATTGTTACATTTGATAGAAGTGTTATTTTTTTTGTTAGTTTTTTTGTTAGTCTATGCAGTATACATAAATTGTATATTTAGTCTATATATTATACTTTTAGTCAATTTTAATTTTTTGCTTTTCAAATACAATTAGAATGAATTTTCATTTTATTTAATATTTTTTCTAATTGAAATGATTATTACTCCTTATTAACTTTTTTAGTTTGTATACTCTAATTTAATAGTTTGATGTTAAACATGAGGATGGTCAAAGTGAGATGAAGATTTCTTTAATTAGATTATTTTAAATTCATATGATCATATTATTTTTATAAAATCGATCGATTTATAATTAAAATTTGAAAAATAAATGGAATTAAAGTCAAAATTTATTCATAATATAAATAATAACGATAAAATTTGACTAATCTAAAATAATAACAAAAAAAAACGTAATTTAACCTAGTTCTTAATGATGGTAGGCTTCAGCTCAGGGGATGAAATGCAAAGAGTGGAACCGGATGTACATAGAGATGAATGGATCCGGTTGATGTGTTAACGGACCCGAGATGGTTACCCATCTTCCCACGCAACGTTGTATAGAAGCTCATCTGATCTGAGCTTCAAACTCCTAATCCTACTCGATGTCTCCATCTTAATAAACACCAAATCCGAAGCACAACTTTCCAACAAAGCCAAATCCTGTAGACTCACGATGCTCGCATAGAGAATAAATAGATAATATAATATCGCAAAATCGAAGCGAAAACTCGAATGCTCAATGGGGAACAAGATCGCGCGAACGACGCAAGTCTCGGCGACGGAGTATTACCTGCACGACCTGCCGTCTTCGTACAATTTGGTGCTGAAGGAGGTACTCGGCCGGGGCCGATTCTTCAAGTCGATCCTGTGTAAGCACGACGAAGGGCTCGTCCTCGTTAAGGTCTACTTCAAACGAGGCGATTCCATCGATCTCCGTGAGTACGAGCGCCGTCTAGTTCACATCAAAGAAATATTCCGGTCACTTGACCACCCCCATGTTTGGCCCTTCCAGGTCACTGGTTTTCTCTTAATTCTTCTCTCTCTCTCTCTTTTTATTATAAACAACCCTGGATTCTTAGTGTTTGATTTGAATTTAGCTTAGACCTGACTTGAATTGAATGATATAAAATTTTATTGCCGGACCTTTCTACATAGCATTAATTCCTGAGATTGAGATTATTCCATTGATTTTTTTTTTAAATTTTATATCCGGCGCTTTTCTGATTGTAATGGCTGGTTTTCGTACAGTTTTGGCAAGAAACAGATAAGGCAGCATATTTATTAAGGCAATATTTTTTCAACAATTTGCATGATCGATTAAGTACTCGGCCGTTTTTGAGTCTCGTTGAAAAGAAGTGGTTGGCGTTTCAGGTCTGTCTCTGTTTCTTCCTCTTTGCATCTTACTCTCTTAGGTTATGAAGAGTAAAATTCGTCTCATTTTTTTCTATTTTGGGGGTGTTGTAGTTGCTTCTTGCAGCGAAGCAGTGCCATGAGAAGGGGATATGCCATGGTCAGTTAAGTTAGTTACGAAGGAATTTATTTCGTTTATCTTCTGATTTCATATGTGTATGATGTTTTTAATCGTTGTGCTTTCAAAATTGTTTTAGGTGATATTAAGTGTGAGAATGTGTTGGTTACCTCGTGGAACTGGGTTTATCTAGCTGATTTTGCCTCATTCAAGCCTACATATATTCCTTATGATGACCCTTCGGATTTCTCCTTTTTCTTTGACACTGGAGGAAGAAGGCTGTGTTATCTTGCACCGGAGGTTGGTTCTAGCTTCACTTATTTTATTGCTGCAGTTTCTTTGTTTTGTTTGTTTCCTGTGATAGATGTTTTGATAAACAGTCTTATGTTCTTATATTGACACCTTTCACTTTTGAATAGCAATTTGGGTCAATTCTTTTAGAAGTGGAACTGAACATGAAATTGATCTTCTGAAATTACTGCTCACAAATAACTAAGTTTGGATACATACTCTGATGCCTAGATAGCCCTATGGATTATGAAATCTCTTAATGAGTATTGTCAATTACTCTTGCAGTTTACTTCTATGTTATCTGACTTAGGTGTTTGTTTTGGACATGGATGTGTTTAACTTTTTCCAAGATTTCCATGTATTTGGAGGGTCCTCAAAGTATCATATTCCCATATCTATTTCACTATGTGTTGAACACAAGTGCTAGACACAAATTCATCAAGAAAAATGAAGGGTTGGAGTAACATAGGTTTACTTGCACCCTTTCGTTTTGGGCTCTAAACCAGCATGTACAAGGAAGGGAGGTTTGATAAGGGCTGACGGTTGTGCGAAATTGGTGATTGGATTCTTTTCTGTTTATGTTGAGCTTGGAAAAAGAATTGATGCAATGTTTTGCCTGTTTATGTGGTTATTAGTTTGATTCAGGAAATGGTTTAGGGCCATCTCTCATAAAAGAACCATTTTTTTTCTTTTGTTCCCAATGACTACATCTGTTTAGCAGCTAAAAGTTTTGGATGATAATTAATCAATTAGGCAGTTCCAACTTCCAACTGATTTTAGTTCTATTTGGATATACATGTCTAGCTTAAGACATGATAATTGCTAAATGTGAATCACGTGTTGACGTGTCTGGTTTTTGACACATGTTTTGTAGCTTTGGTATTTTGTATAGCTTGGTAATTGTTTGGTTATAATATGTTGATCTGATTATGTCTTGTTCACCTATACATAAAACATGTCTTATTTAAGTTTCAGCACTACACTTGAAGAGAGAACATATTATATTCTATATGTGTATGGCATGTTTTTTTTTCAATACTGATTTTCTCTATTGCTATATAGAGATTTTATGAGCATGGAGGTGAAATGCAAGTTGCCCAAGATGCTCCTTTGAAGCCATCTATGGACATCTTTGCTATTGGGTGAGCTTTCTAAATGTAGTAGTATTTTTGTGGAAACTACAGTTCCTTCTAAATTTGTTTTTCTTTTTCAAAGACATTCCGATCTCTTATCTGGAACCATATGTTACAAACTAAATAAATGGTAGGTGAGATCCTAATACATTGTAAACTAGTGTACATTATATAGGTATGCTTACCTGTACTATTCATTCTAAATATATTAGCTTACCAACTGATACATGTTCTGAACGTTTTGAGTAGTATCGCCTGATGTTAAGTCCTCTAGTGAAGTAATGATTTTTGTGAAATTTTGTTACGTCTAAGTTTCTGAGTCCTGATGATATAGTTTGATCTTCATGAAGAAATAGTGGTTTCAATCTACTTGTTTTGAACAAAATGTAAATTCCAAATCATTTTTTGTCCAACAATAATAATATGTGCTTGCTATACAACTGTTTAGATGTGTTATTGGGGAGGTTTTCCTTGAGGGCCAGCCACTGTTTGAACTTTCCCAGCTTCTTGCATATCGCAGAGGGCAATATGATCCTAGTCAACATCTTGAAAAGGTGGTAATTTCTTTCCCTGCCTTTCTACTTGATGCATTTGCTATCCCTTTTCACTGATTTTTCTTCTACATATTGAGTTTTATTTAATCTTATTGCTGCTATTTACTTGCTTGCACAAGACTACTATCAGTGCAATTCTTGTTAGTCGTAAGAAGTTATTCTCACTTTCTTCATGTTAAAATCAGTTCATGGTTAACTATTGCTTTTCTAACAATTTGATTTGCATGTGCAGATCCCAGATATTGGAGTACGAAAGATGATACTTCATATGATCCAGCTTGAACCAGAGTCTCGCCTCTCTGCTGAAAGTTATCTACAGAATTATGTAGCTGCTGTATTTCCTGGCTACTTCTCACCATTTCTGCATGGTTTTTATTGTTGCTGGAATCCTCTTCATTCTGATATGAGGGTAAACATGTTTTTAATCTAGGAATTGTAAAATTAATCATTCTTGCATCTAATATCTGCCCTTGCTCTGTAATTTCTATTGTAGATTGCAATGTGCCAGAGGGTTTTCCCCGAGATATTGAAGCAAATGATGAGCAAGAGGTCAAATGATGAGATGGGAGGGGGTCTTGGCAAATTGCATACCTTAAGTGGTAAACAGTCGCAAGATATTGTTTCAAAACAACAGTCACAAGAGATCGTTACAAAACAAAAGTTGAGCTCAACAAATCACTTGTTGACAAAAAGAGAAAAGATGGATAATGGTTCTGTTGGGGATCGGTTCAAGCTTCTTGGCAACATCGATACCCTACTTGGAGATGTTGAACAGAGCAATCATTACCTTGGGGAGAATCCAACAGAAGGAGATACATCCAAAAGTGCACTTTCCCAAGATTTTAAACAAAATGGCATTGAATCTCCCACTTCCTTCATCAAAATATTTCTGATTTGTTTAGGAAAAATGATCACCCTTTTCTGAAAAAGATTACAATGGATGATTTAAACTCATTGATGTCTGACTATGACAGTCAATCAGACACCTTCGGAATGCCTTTTCTACCATTACCCGAAGATAGTATGAAATGTGAAGGGATGGTTTTAATTGCCTCTTTGCTTTGCTCCTGCATACGTAATGTTAAGTTACCTCATTTGAGGAGAGGGGCGATACTTTTGCTGAAGACCTCTTCATTATACATTGATGATGAAGATCGCTTGCAGCGAGTACTTCCATATGTAATTGCAATGCTTTCTGACCCAGCGGCAATTGTGCGGTGTGCTGCCCTTGAGACTTTATGTGACATTCTACCCTTAGTTCGAGATTTTCCTCCTAGTGATGCAAAAATTTTCCCAGAGTACATCCTTCCAATGCTTTCCATGCTTCCTGATGATCCAGAGGAAAGTGTGAGAATTTGTTATGCAAGCAATATAGCTAAGCTGGCTCTAACAGCTTATGGATTCTTGATACATTCAATAAGGCTTAGCGAGGCTGGAGTTCTTAATGAATTGAATTTGTCTCCGAAGTCTTTAGCATCATCTGGTGAGTCATCTGGGCGCATTCAGAGGTCAAATAGTGATGCACAGCTAGGCCAATTAAGGAAGTCCATTGCAGAGGTAGTTCAGGAGCTTGTAATGGGTCAAAAGCAAACTCCAAACATTAGAAGAGCTCTCCTTCAGGACATTGGCAACTTATGCTGCTTTTTTGGCCAGAGACAGAGTAATGATTTTTTGTTGCCCATACTCCCAGCCTTTTTGAATGATAGAGATGAGCAGCTAAGGGCAGTGTTTTATGGGCAAATTGTGTTTGTCTGCTTCTTTGTGGGCCAACGAAGTGTGGAGGAATATCTTTTACCTTATATTGAGCAGGCTTTAGGTGATGCAATAGAGGCCGTTATAGTTAATGCACTGGATTGTTTGGCTGTTCTGTGCAAAAATGGTTTCTTACAGAAAAGAATATTGCTTGAAATGATAGAACGTTCCTTTCCATTGTTATGTTTTCCTAGTCAATGGGTAAGGAGGTCGGTTGTCACTTTCCTTTCATCTAGTAGTGAGTGCTTGGGTGCTGTAGATTCTTTCGTTTTCCTTGCTCCAGTAATACAACCTTTCCTACGTCGACAACCTGCATCTCTGGACTCCAAAAAAGCTCTTCTTTCTTGTTTGAAGCCACCTGTCTCAAGGGAAGTATTTTATGAAGTCTTAGAAAATGCTAGGAGTTCAGACATGTTGGAGAGACAGAGAAAAATATGGTACAATTCATCAGTGCAATCGAAACAATGGGAAATTGCTGATTTACTGAAGAGAGGGGCTGGGGAATTAGACTCAATGAAGTATTGGTCTGAGAAACAACAGTCTATTGGAGGTCATAGACCCATTGATAGTGCATTGCAGCAATCTGGGCTAACAGAAGATGATGACGATACCAAGCTGAGAGTTCTGGGGGGTCATATACGAAATGCTTCTAGTGTAATTGACATGCGTGATCCATTATGCTCAGAGAAGCTAAAGTTTTCAGGTTTAACATCTCCGCAGCTCAATGGTTTAAACAGTTTCATGTGTGATAAGTCTTCAGAAGGTATACCTTTGTACTCTTTTAGCATGGACAAGCGAGCAATGGTAGCTCCTCCAGCAGCTTCTGATACTCCTTTGCCTTGTATAGATCCAGTTAGTAAATCATTTACCATGTCTAGTTCAGTTCCAGCACCTAAGCTTGTTTCAGGCTCCTTTGGTATCACTGGTGGTTCTAAACAATTTTACAGAGTTGTACATGAACCAGAAAGTCGTGAAAATGATCAAATAGCCTATGTTAATAGTAAATTTCAAGACATGGGATTATCTGGTACAGTAAAAGGAACTTCTGTTCCAATGGAAGATGCTTCTGCTTCAACTGATTTCACAGGACTACCCTCATTTGCTCGGTCTTCATCAATTCCAGATTCAGGTTGGAGGCCGCGTGGGGTGTTGGTTGCACACCTGCAGGAGCACCGATCTGCTGTCAATGATATTGCAGTTTCAAATGATCACAGTTTCTTTGTGAGTGCATCTGATGATTCCACTGTCAAAGTGTGGGATTCAAGAAAGTTGGAGAAGGATATATCGTTTAGGTCAAGGCTAACTTATCACTTGGAAGGAAGCCGAGCACTATGCACTGCAATGCTCCAAAATTCTGCTCAAGTTGTTGTTGGAGCATGCGATGGGACAATCCATATGTTTTCTGTTGATCACATCTCTAGAGGTCTTGGAAATGTTGTTGAAAAGTATTCAGGTATCGCTGATATAAAAAAGAAGGATGTGAAAGAAGGTGCAATACTTACCCTTTTCAACTACCCTGTGGATAACTGTGGCATTCAGACATTTATGTACAGCACCCAAAATTGTGGTATTCATCTTTGGGATACGAGATCAAGTTCAAATGCATGGACATTAAAAGCAGTTCTGGAGGAAGGTTACATATCGTGTCTGGTTGCAGGCCCTTGCGGGAATTGGTTTGTTTCAGGGTCTTCTAGGGGTGTGCTTACCCTTTGGGATTTAAGGTTCTGTATTCCTGTGAACTCATGGCAGTATTCTCTTGTATGCCCTGTAGAAAAGATGTGTCTCTTTGTTCCTCCTTCAAGTGTCTCAGTTTCTACAACTGCAAGGCCGCTTATTTATGTGGCTGCTGGCTGCAATGAAGTTTCACTTTGGAATGCAGAGAATGGGAGCTGCCACCAGGTAAAGAGGCAATTGCTTCTATTAATCAGACATAGTGTATGCATGATTGAAATAAAGGATGTTGGTATTTGGAACAATAATTAGAAAATTTTAGCAATAGCCTTATATTAAAACTGTGCTTGGTAGGAGAATACATTTGGGGAATTTAAAGGGCGGATGGTAAAAAAGGAAAGAGGATTTTATCATACTTTGTAGGACAGAAAAGTGAGGGTCCTTCCAAATTGCATTAGGAGGAGAGAAAATGGAAGGATGTTGTTCTAATTATATATTTTGAAATTTTTTGTTAGAGATTAATGTACAATGGAAACTGATTGAGGGATATAAAATCCTGGATTTGTCCCTCTATAATGAGAACTAGTTTTTGTTATTATCGTTCATTGTGATTGAATTTTTTCCTCCCAACTTTTGTCTCCAGGTATTTAGGGCTGCAAATTATGACACTGAAGCAGAAATGTCTGATTTACCATGGGCCTTGGCAAAGCCATCCACTAAAAGAAGCTCTAAATCTGATCCAAGGAGGAATGCAAATCCAAAGTATCGAGTGGATGAACTAAATGAACCCCCACCACGTCTTCCGGGTATCCGTGCATTACTTCCTCTACCTGGTGGTGATCTATTGACTGGAGGCACTGACTTAAGGATTCGCCGCTGGGACCATTGCAGGTTTTTATTGAATTCCTTTTTTATCCCTGTTCAGTGATCTTATGGAATATGCATTATTTACATTATTTCCATTGCAGCCCTGATAGAAGTTACTGTATCTGTGGCCCAAATTTTAAGGGAGTTGGAAATGATGATTTCTATGAAGCAAGATCAAGTTTTGGGGCACAAGTTGTACAGGTATCGTCTAATGATATATTTACATAAAACTTCATTCTTGTGTTTTACCTTTCAGAATTTTATTGGATTACTATGTATTATGGTTTTTCACTTTTCACTCATTTTCTATCATGGCTTTTTGTGCAAATTATCTCAACTGCCTTTTCACTAGAACGCAAGGGTGCCTTCTGGAACTGTTTGGTTTAGGGTCTCCTGCTCTTAGTATTTATGTTTTCTTTTCTTGGCAAACAGGAAACTAAGAGACGACCTCTAACAATGAAGTTGACAGCAAAAGCAGTTATTGCTGCTGCTGCTACTGATTCTGCTGGATGCCACCACGATTCCGTCCTCTCTTTGGCTTCTGTGAAATTGAACCAAAGACACTTGATATCAAGCAGTAGAGATGGGGCTATTAAGGTTTGGAAGTGAATAACCCAAAAGCTTGAGTGCTTTAATATACATATTTAGTTACAGAAATAGTAATTGTACATGGTGAAATTGTGCATTCAGATTCAGATCTTAAATTCTGCAGCCTAACCATTTACCTCCTTTGGTTCGTAGTTTTGTACAGTTAGTACGCTTGTAAGTTTATGTGGGATTTTTCTTATTTATTATTAATACAATCCCTTATTTATCAATGAAAGAGAGAAAATACTTTGGTACTTATTCTTGTTTAACAGAAAATAACTTGTATCTCCATACAGTTTCTTGCATTTATGTGCAAAGTTCATTGATGTTAAATCTGAACCCTTTTAATGTCCAATCCCCATTTTCTTTTGCATTAGTTCAATTTGTTTGTAGTTAATAAATTAATGTCCTCTTGGCATGCTCTGATTAAACAGTATTATGGTATGGTAGCAAACAATGAGGTTTCCGAATCAGCAACACTTGCTCTGTTTTATCTAGTTCAAATGCATAGGAGTGATAATCATTCAGTTCTTAAGGAGAGGTTGTTAAAGTTGTGTTTTACTTACACACTGAGGAATATATATATAGTATCATGTCATGTCATGTGCATGTATGAATGAATGCCCTGGCCTCTAGGTTGGATTAATGTCTAATGAACTGCATGCGTTTGTTTACATGGAATTTGAGTCATTCTTGATGGTAAAGCATGAAAAATATTTGCAATCGTTTCGGATTCTACCGTCTTGATCGGATTACTGGTTGTTCTATTATCTAATGTCATAACCCTTATGATATCGTTTTTTTATCAACCTGCTGCGAAAAGAATGAATAATTTCTTCAGTGCTGGAGAATGCTACATGGTTTGCAAGGTTTGGTATTTATTGTGCATGTAGTTGTGTGATCTTCGTATCTGCTAACTTTAAGTTAAAGCATTTATGTGTGCCTTGATTAACATATTGGAAACTCTGCCATTTATTTTTCATCTTCACAGGTTATGTGCAGCAGGATAATATGTATGCCACTTTGGTTTAGACGTGTAAATTATAAGTTAGCTAGTTTCATTATGCTTACCGTAGAAGGATCGCCAATCCTTTTGCCCCTACAGCGCCTGCATCGCATTCCTTCTATATATTGCTTTACTTTGATGGTAAAAGAACTAGTATCTGGTGAGTTAAATAACACGATCTGATCTAATAAAGTCGATTTTTTTTATAAGATTCAGGTTTCAGATTAAGTCATATTTAACTTAAAAAGATCTCAATCTTTTTTTGGGATAATTACGAAAATACCTTTATATATTATTAGTTAGTTTTTGATATACGATACTAGGACTATGCTATTAAATTAAACTTTTTTTAAAATTTATGTAGTTAAATTAAATAAAATTAATATTTTTTTGAATTTTTTTTTATTTTGATCAATTGTGTCAAGTTCGACTTAGGTTTTGATAAAATTATTTATGTTGTAATATTGGATCAAGTTCGACTTAAATTTTATGACTACAGTATTAAATTGAATTGAGGTCAATTAAAAAGTACTCCGAATCCGCTAGTTGTCATCCCTGTCCATATATTTCAATGTTTAGGGTTCTCTACCTGCCCATATTTCACATAAATCACTGTTTCAGTGGGCAAAATTCGTGAGATAATGGTGTGGAAAAAAAATTCCTGAGATAATGTTGTTGGAGAATTATTGACTGAGATAAGACGTTTGCTACGGTTCGAACGTTGGTCGCCAAGTGTTTCAAGCGACGAAGGAGGTCGCCAAGCCATCCCTCAACCTGTGCTGTTGGTCGCCATGCAAGCCCACTTGTATATTCATGCCATGCACCTTTAAAATTTATTAGTGCCCCTGCCATGCAACTTTAAAAGTTGCTTTCACGTGAATGAATAAAGTTTTTTTTATTTTTCTTTTGAATTTCAACATGAATATTCATGCCATGCAGGAGCCCACGTCAATTTCAACGTGATTCATGTCATGCTGTACACCTGATTCATACCAAACAAAATTTTTAATTGATTTTTATAAATTTTAAGATTATATTCGATTCAATTTTTATTCCTTACTCAAATGAAAATTTTTTACTAAAGGTTTTGAAATTTAATCAAGTAAAAAACTTAATTTAGACTAAGTAGTACTGATACTGCTAAGACAGTATAGAAACCATGGAAACAGAACCTCAAAATGGTACTAATACTACTACTAATTTATTATTAATATTTAATGATCTGATATTTAATGATTTAGTAATAATATGATTTAGTAATGATTACTAATAATGATTTATTATTAATATATAATGATTTGATACTAATGATTTAATAATGATTAGTAATAATAAAATTATAATAATTATTAATAATGATTTAATAATGATTACTAATAATTATTTAATGATATTAAATATTTAAATCAAATTTATTCAATTAAATCGAATTTATAAATAGTTGAATTTATAACTAGTCGAATTTATATTTAACATATGCAACTTTAAGTTTATTTTAAATTGAAATTTAAGTTTTTAAGTTAAGGTTAAAAAATTCTAAATAATAACTAATGTTTACAAAATAAAATACTAGTCTAATTTAAATATTTAATTTTAAGCAAATAAAAAATGAGTTTATAATTGTTGTTGATGTTGGGGTGTTGTTGAATGATAATGAACGTTCGGACGTCTAATGCGTTGTGGTCGTTGCGGTTGCTCAGAGTATGGTACCCATCTTCTCATTCATTGGGGGCATTTCAACTGGTGTTGTAAATATATTCCAACCACTATGCTCTGTCATTCCAACAGTTTGCTCTTTAATCCCACTTGGAAACAATGACTGACAAATATTGGTATTTGACATCATAGATGTCATTTGGTCAAAGTCATACGTCAACTCAAACATAGGAGAGTAGATGGGTGCCTGAGGCTGCACAAACTATGGTACGTATGTCGGGACAATAGAGTCATCAATAGCGCACCACAATGTTAAATTGTGTTATTAAATTTACTGTAAATTTTTTTAAATGTTTTAGCATTAGTTTATTTTTAAGTTCGTATATTATTTATTTAATTAGGTGTATTTAATCTATTATTTTTGCAGATATAAGACTCTCAATCTTTTAAACTTTCAAACTCTAAAAATGATGTATATTTCAGGTATTGTTTACTATGATGGATAAATTATGGAAGATAAAGCATGCACTGTCTTCGTATCAAATCATTCTGTCAGAATATCCTTCAAGAGAAACATCACTCTTGAGGAGTTGATCACTAAAATTTCAAGGAAGGTTCATGTTGGAAGTACTAGAAGAATGTCCTCACTTCAGTACAGATTTTTAAGAGCAATATTTCTCTTAACTTATATATCGTTCGAACTCTCCATCTATAATGGTTGATTCTCATAATCAAAATTCAGACACCGACACACATATGTATGCGACATTTTTTGAAGTGCCTATGGTTCGTGGTATGTCATTATGTTCCCACTATGGGATGGCTCAACAAGCTGATCAAGTTGACATCCCAACTACAATAATGTGTAATGATTTTAACGTCATAATGAGAAATTCACATCATGGTACCATCACATCAAGTTCAATGGGAATACATTCATCAGCAACTTGTTAAGATGTCTATCGATGTGGCTCCACGAACAATCCATATATCAATGTCGCTTCCAATTCAAGGGGAAGACATCTACCAATTTATTTTACTTGAATATGGGGATGCCATCGACACAACAATCTGTTCAGTACCCATTTGACACGATGCCTTCAAGTTCCAGGGGGAGGCATTCAACTGCAAGCTTATTCAACCTCAATGTCGAGATGCATGCACACATCACTCAGTCCAAAACCCGTATGACAAGATGCCTTCAAGTTCAAGGGGAAGACATTCAACTACCAGCTTGTTTCGACCTAAATATTGGCATCATAGATGAACCCTCATCTCCACCAGAAGAACCTCTTCGTGAGCCAGGTGCAGATGGTGCTGAGACTGAACTATTCGTTGAGCCAGAATTAAACGGACCGAAACTGATAGTATATATATAGGATGAGGAGAAATCGAAGGCTGAGATTTTAGTACCCCACTATTAAATGCCTTATTTTTTTTCAAATGAATATCTTCTCATTTACTATTGTTAATCTCATCCTTTGATTTCTCCTTATATAACAGCCCTAAAAAGATGTAAAACTTTTTAGTTTTACATTAGGAAAATTCTACAATGTTCGACTAGTACCTCTAAACACCACTAACGATGAGCACCGCTAAGCACGATTAATTTTAATTTATTTTTTAAATTTTTAAGGAATCAACGTATAATTATAAGTTAGTTAAAATTTTAAAGATAAATTATTTAAAATAATATATTAATTACATTTTTTTATAAATTTTTAACAAATTTTAAAAGATAAATTATATTTTTTATTATTGAAAGTATTATGGAAAATAATTTAATTAATATTTTAGTTTAAATAATTTATCTTTAAATTTTAACTAATTTATAATTATATGTTGAGTCCTTTAAAATTTTAATTTTTTATAAATTAAATTAATGATGCTCAACGGTGCTCATCATTAGTGGTGCTCAGTGTATGATGTTCATGGATGGTTAACTGTACCATTTGGACTAAAAGGTCGGTTAACCATTATAACGATTATGAAAATTTTCTAATCATAGCCTAACCGTTATTAACAGTTCAGTTACAGGTTAAATGTAGCTTAACCTATTACAACTATTTGTCAAAATGTTTCCATAATTCATACTACAAAAATGTAGAACTTAACATATACTTAAACCAGTGTAAGTGAATAAATAGAAAAAGTGTAGCATTTAACACATACTTTACACTGGTGTAAGTATGTACATCTCCCAAGTTCTTAGTAACTATTAATAAACATATAATTATATTGGTGTAAATATGTTTCTATATTTTTAAAGAAATTAAAAAATATATTAAGTTATTTATATGCAAGTTTTATTAAATATATATAAATTATAAATAATAAAAAATCATATTCACTTATTTGTGTAAAAATAACATAAATAAGAAATATAATTATAAATTTAATTTATTAATGGTTAATGTTTGTCAGAATTCATAACCGTAATCTTAACCGTTAACTATTATTTTTTGTGGTTCGACTAATCGAAATCGTTTAGTTTTAACAGTTTGGTTAATTAACATATTAAATGTAACGGTTATATCGATTAACGATTCCATATTTTTTAACACCTCT